GCTTCGGAAACGTTTTTTACTAAGAAAACATAGTAAAAAAAAGCATTTCCGAAGCTGCGGAGGCGTTTTCTACTATGTTTTACTTAGTAAAAAAGCAATTTCGAAGCCACGAAGGCGTTTTTTACTATGTTTTACTTAGTAAAAAAAGCATTTCCAAAGCTGCGGAGGCGTTTTCTACTATGTTTACTTAGTAAAAAAAGCATTTTCGAAGCCGCGAAGGCGTTTTTTACTATGTTTTACTTAATAAAAAAAGCATTTCCAAAGCCGCAGAGGCATTTTTACTTTGTTTTTCTTAATATAAATGCATCTGTTACTAACTTACTTTATAAAAGCTATCTTTGAAATTTTTTAGTGCAATTACTAATGATTTTCTTAATTAAAACTTTATTTTAATATATCATTATAATAATTAAAAAAAAATTTTATATTTGATTTGATTTGATTTGATTTGATTCGAAAAAATCAAATCAAATTCAAATTGCTTCAATATTTGATTTGATTTGATTTTGAGGAACCCTAATTAGTAATATTAGATCAAAAAACATCATGTTCCTCTTCCAAGTAGTTGCTACTGGTAGATTTCTTCTCAATTACCATGACATTCAGCTTCGATCTTTCTTCTCAACTAAATTCAATGGTGTCACTGCACGTTGGTTCAAATTTTTACAAAAGATAGTTTTAACAAATTCTGTTTTTCAAATCATCTCAAATCAGAGTTTTTTTTTGAGCCCCAAGTATTTGATGATTATTTAACTTCCACTTCAATCGAGGACTTCAAATGGAATACTGGATGGACTAATATATAGACTCCTTCTAATTACAATATTTATAAATTCCCAATTTCTGGATCGTCTATCTTTGGAAAAGTGTTTAAATTGAAATCTCCAGCTCCACCTTGTCTCTTTCAACATTTACCTTAAATAACTCAACAAATGATCCACGTTCTCCATCAAAAAGAAAATATGTTCTAGTACCATATTCTGGCTGCTCTTTTAACAAACCCAGAAAAAAGATCAACATTAAACCGAAATTTAAAAGTTGCCTTATGCTCAGTTCATTGATCCGTTGCTTTCCAACCCGATCGATATTTCACCATTAGTTCAAAGTAATACTAAAAACCTCCATATTCCTAAAAGATCTTTGTGGCCTTTAATGGATCAAGCTGTAGCTAAATTCAAAATGGTTCATTCCATTTCCACTCCAAACATTCTACCTGTCCATCTAAATTTAGATACTGATATCCTAACTATAGAAAGTTTATTTATGTCTACCGATTATATCACTGCCCTTAATAACCATAGAGTTTCTTTATTTAACAAATCAATTTTAGAATTTACACTGATGGGTCTCATCAATTCATTCTATCACCTATAAATACTTTTATTAGTTCCACTTTTGTTTTAGTGCATGATTCTCTAGATATTAGTTTTGCTGCTGCTTTGCCTCCTCTTTGGGCCAACTCTACTAATACTGAAATTTTTGCTCTTCTAATGACTCTTTTTGTTTGCCCTTTTGGTTCTAATGTTAAAATTAATACTGATTGCTTATCAATGATTCTTGCTTACAATAGAATTTTGCAAAACAATATTTGTTTTTATTCATCCTTACTCTTTAAAACTCCCTTTTATATATATTGGTGTTTCATTTTCAAAATCATCGAACAAAAACAAATCACATTGTCTTTGGTAAAAGTTAAAGCACATTCTAGCAATCCTTATAATGATAAAGTTGATCATTTAGCTAAATCTGCTCTTCATGATCCTCCAATCTCTATCTCTTTCTCGCATGTCCCATTTCTTTCTTTCGTTCCTACCTTTCAAGATAATCCTATTAACAAAGAAATCCGACCTTTTTTTAAAGACTATATCAATTCCAAATCCTTTACAAATTTTTATATCTTCAAAGAAATAATCACTATAAAAACAAACAAGTTAATTGGCTCTGCACTTTCAATCTTATCAATCACGTCTCGAACAACATAACTTCTTTTAAAGAATCCTTTTATCATAAATGAAGATACTAACTCTTACTCGAACAACTACCCACTCTCGAATTTCTCAAGCTTACATCTCCTGATCTATATGACTCTACTTGGAAATGTTGTCACTGTAATTCCTCTAATGAGACTTTTATTCATATTTAGACCTGCCCTGAGGCTTGTTCTAGTATCGATAATATTATCATCAAGAGTATCCAAACTCTTAAGGATCAACTCTATATTCATACCTCTAGCCGACAATAGCCATTAGAATTACTTTCAATATTCAACATTTTACATTCATACTGGAATTTGTCTTTATCTCCCTCTTTCTCTTTCAATTTTATCGACTTTCTAAAAGGAATTGTTCCTTCTCAATTCTACTACCTTATTAACGATTTTACAAAATGCTAAAATAAATCCCTAGCTATTTTATCTTCTTTCTATAATCTCATTATTGATCAGGTGATCCTTCTTATTTATAAACCCAGATGTGCTTTCACTATTGCCAAAGAACTCACCTTTAATATCACAAACAAAAAAAAGCGTAGTAAATCATATAGGAGGTTTGCTAGAAAAATAAGGCTCTAAGCATTTTTTATAAAAATTTTAATTTTTATTGCATTTTAATTTTTGATAATGTTAGATTCAAATGCAATAAAAATTAAAATTTTAATAAAAAATGCTCAGAGCCCCATTTTCTTAGCAAACCTCCCATATAACAGTTCTAAACTCTCTTCTTCACCTAATACACCTATCGTCGATAATAATATGAACTATCTAACTCTTTTTTCTAACTCATTTATTCACAGCAGATCCTGGCCTCTTTTTAGCGCAGTGAAAACTAGTTGTCTCAATCGTTTTTTCTTTCATTTGTTATATACTGATTTTTCTACTATAAGTAATCGAATTTGAATGTGATGAGACAACCAGTTGGTTTGGTTGGAGTTGATCTACCCTTCGAGGAAGGCTAAGCAGCTTTATTTTATTTTTTCTACTTTTGTACCCATTTTGGGATTTTCTTTTTATTTTATAATTTGAATCCGAATTTTTAATAAATAAAAGCTTCAATGCGTCTTAAAAAAAATATATATATATATATACTTTCTTTTTATATTCTAATAAAGTTGTTTGTATAATTACTTTGTAATTTATTATAATCATAAAAGTTAAATTTTAAATTATAAACATTTTTTGCAATTACATTATTTAACAAATTAATTTTAATTTTTTTTTATCTATTCAATTAATTCAAAAAGATATTTGAGTACTTTGGTCAAAAAATATTAACTTTTATTGTGTAAGTAAAGTTACTCAGCAAGTTCAAAAATATATGAATATAAATTTTTATTATAATTGGATTAATGATTGTAAAGTTATGCATGTTTTTCATAATTGTATTATCTCACAAATTTTTTTATTTTTATTTTTATTTGTACAGTAACTTTAAAGAGCAATTATGTGCATTAGTGATACCTGACTAAATTCTTTTTGAAAAATTGTAATTTCGTCAAAAGTTTCGTCTCTTTAATATTTTTATATAAATAAATATAAAATTATTATATTTTTTAATGTATTTTAATTCAAGGAATTTAGATTAAGTTAAATATAATTTTGGCAATTAAGTAAAATAATTTCGTCATTAATAAAAAACTAGTTTTATTATTTTTGTCATTTTGATTTCGTCAATTTCATCATATTAAAAAAGGTAATTTCGTCAGGTATCACTAATGAGCATATAAAATTTTATTATGATCGGATTAATAGTTGTAAAGTTATAAACATTTTTTGTAATTGTATTATCAGTTACCTGATTTGCAAATTTATCGCAATTTGTAATTTTAAATTCTGCAGTTAAAATAATTATATTAGTATCTTTTTTATGAAAAATAATCAAATATAAAAATGTATCAATATTTTTATATTTTTTAAACAAAATTAATAATTATTTAGTTTCTTTTTTTACACAGATCAGGTTAGGTCAGGTCAAATATATATTTAATTCAGGTCAATTTTATATCTGACCTAATCTGATTTTATCAGGTCAGGTCAAATCAATTACCTGATCTGATACAACTTATTCAGAGCTCTATTACTAATGATTAGGGTTCTTTAAAATCAAATCAAATCAAATATTTAAATATCAAATCGAATTGCAAAACTCTACTAATGATATTATTTGAAATCTATTTTAACATTTAGCTTAAATATTTAGAAACTTTTCAAAACTTTTAGAATAATTTTTTTAATCTAAAACTTAATTAAACTTAATTGAGTTTAGGAATATCTATTTGAAATTTAAGTAAATATATTTATTATAAACAAATAGTTTAATCTCAATTAACTTAAAATTCAGATTTTTTAAAAATAGTTTAGGAAAATATCTTTAGCTTTTATTAAACTCAATAAAATTTAATCAAGTTTTAATTTAAAAAAAAACAGGTTTTAAATTTTTAAGTTATATGTTAAAATAGGTTTTAAATAGCATTATTAAAATTTTTATATTTTTTAAATTCTTTTGTTTATTTATTAGTTAAAATTTTTTACTATTTATTATTATATTTATTATATATTACTTAAACTTTTGAAATTTAAATATTATTAATATATAATTTTTCATATTTTTCATATTTATTAATATTAACAAAAAAAATAAAAACAACCTTTATATCTTTTATAATCTTTATCTTTTATGTCTTTTTAGTTTTTTAGTTTTTTTTCATTTTATTTATTATTTTTATAAATAAAAAATAAATATAAGCAGTATTTGTTATCAAATTTTATTAAATTATTATTTAAATAATTTACTATCATTTATCAATAAAAAATTAACATTACAGTATTATTTTTTTTTATATTATTCTATATTTATTCTTTTATATTTATTATTATTAATGATAAATACTATTAATAATAAATTAGAAAACCTTAAATTTTTTTAATTAAATAAGAATTAAATTGTGATTAACACATTAAAGTTTATTTATATCTTCTGAAAGTTCTAATATGGATTTCCTCTTTTTCATGTTAAATTGTTAAAAAAAACTTTTCTTGTATTCTCATATATTGTATCAGCTAATTCTTCAGGATCAACACCACGAATTGAAGCTATTATATATAACACTTGTCTTAAGATTGATTATACAGTAGAGATAAAAATAATGAGTCATTAAGTGTAAAAATAAAGCCATTTAAGTAAGATTAATATAATAATAAAAATTTACCCAATACAGCAAGGTTCATTACGTCCTTTAACCATACAATTCCAACTGAATTTTTCTTTTTTACGCGTTGCAGGCTGATATAATAATTTTTTTTCTTCCGGTAAGTTTAAATACTTATATGAAGCATGTGTAGGTCTAATATCACACCACGGGGCATCTTGTAATTTTGTCGCGTAAATAAAGGATTAAAATTGAGTAAATAAGTGGCATACAACAAAATGAATTGTTAAATAAACTTTACCGGTTTCTATCATTAACTTATCTATTGGTGCGTTTTTTATCACTTCAAGACTTTCTTGTGTTTTTAATGAACTTTAAATGACAGAAATCGTTAATTGACGAACTTTAAAGATTTAGCGCGAAAATTAAAATCTCTCACCATCCATTAATACCAAGATATAAACCTAAGGAAACAGCACATTTCATTTCTTCCATTGTACAAGTCATTGAATGCATAACTCCATTTACAAACCTATGTCTATGCTTTTGAATTAAATGTATTTTCTTATCCATAGTTAAAGATGATAAAATTGATATTCATAAATTATATCAAAAACTTTGAAGGATATCCATAAAATCATTTCCAGTATTACGATTATGAAGAAACATTGGAAGTCCAGTTTTTTCGGCCAAATCAAACTGACGCTCAAAATATCTAAAAAGTTAAACGACGTGTTTAATAAATTTCACTATTATCAAATTAAATGATTGGTAAGAGCCATACTTTAATTGTACTTCTTTTGGACAAAAATGAAGTCGATCATAATCTATATCAATCCACAAAAGAAATTGTTAAGAAAGTTCAAAGCCAATCAACTATGGAAATGAACATAAAATAATTAATATCGTTCTTACCAAGTCCACATTCTCCAATTGCTACAATTTTATCTTGGGATTCTCGGCTCGTAGCAAGATTTAAAAGTTTTTGATAGTATTCATCTGGCCCTTCAGGATCTTGTTCAAATTCACGACAACGCGTTGGATGACAACCAACGGTCATATAAAGATCATCTTTAAATAAGAAATTTATTAGAATAATTTAAAATATTTTGAATTCGTGATTATGACCTACTTTACCATAATTTTTTACTAATTCCAGGGCTTCATGAGCTTCACTTAGAGTTCCAGCAGTTACTATGATTTTTTCAACACCAGCATCTCTGCCACGATGTAAAACTTGCGCAAAATCATCTAATTTATCAAATGAATAAGATAGGTATCATTATTATACGAATTTATAATATTTAAAATATGTATGATGGAAAATACCAGCATGTGCTTGTACACCACGATAAATTCCACGAAAAACAGAATCCGTCAAATTGGCCCCTATTTCTTTTATTTTTTTTTAAAAAAAAATATGATATCCAGTTAATTATTAATTAACACACAAATATAAATCTTAAATAGAATAACTCTTCGACTCTTTAATTAATTATATGTACCAATAAATCGAATTCCTTTTGACATTGTTAAAATGTTGAAACGAGAAATTCGGGTTATTTTTTTTTTTTTTTATTTGCCCAATGAGGCTTAGTTTCTTTTGTTTTACGATTCAATTAATAGTATATTAATTTTTATTAAATCGAAATAACTTACTAGAAATAAGATTTACAATTTTTAAATCCAATTAATCTTTATTTACTTTTTCTATATTATTTAATCATAAATAAGTTTTAGATTTAAACTATATTGACGTTAGAATTCTAGTAAGTAAATTTGCCTGTGAATTTAAAAGTATTAATTTCTTTATAAAATATTACAAAATATATTTTATAATTTAATTTTTAACTTTATTAATAAATATTTTAAAAAATTTTTATTTTTAAAAATTTTTTAAAAATTCATATATTTGTGAATATATATTTATAAAATTAAATTTTAAAAAAAAAATTTATTTTTTTATTAAAGTAAATCAGAAAAGAATTTATAGTAAATAAGTAAACAAATTTGTTTGCAATCTTAGAGATAAAAAATATTAGATATTTTTATTATTTACTAATTTTATTTAAAATTATTAATTATATCATAATTTTGATAATTTGATTTAATTTTTCTGATGCTTTATATTGATTATTTTGATTTTATCAGTTTTTTTTTATACATTTATTATAAATCATTGCAAATTTATTTATTCTAATAATTCAATTAATTATTTTAAAATTTTAATAAGATTTTATTTCTATTATTTGGGAGGTTTGCTAGGAAAATAGGAAAATAGGACTTTAAGCATTTTTTATTACAATTTATTATTTTGATATTAATAAATATTTATTTGTTTATTAATATTTATTAATTCATTTTATAAATAATTATTATTACTTAAACTTTTTAATATTTAATATATACTTTCAAATACTTTAATTAATTTTTTTGAAACTTTAAATAAATTTGTTAATTTTACTTTATAAATTTTATATTTTAAATACTAATATTTTTTAATTTATAATAATTCATTAAATATATATTATTTATTATACAAGTTTTATTATAAATTTTTTGATTGGAAAATAAATTTAATGATAATAATGTTAACCGAAATATCAAATTTAATAAAACTAATTTTTAAAAAAAACTACAGCAAAAATAGGGTTTCTGAGATAAAAATCAAAATAGTATTCAAAAGGTTTTCTAACCCACCTGTAAATCAATTCTAGTCATATAAATCAATTATTGAACTCAAGCATCTAGCTCAATTTGACTCAAATATAGATATTGATATCACTAGTCGAAATAATTTTTTTTTAATTGTTAATGATACAGTCTAGCCACAGTACTTTATTTTGTATTGTAAATTAAAAGAAAAACCTAAAAAAATACTAAAATACGCAACTTATCCCCCATGGTTCTATTTCAAACTCGTTTGAGTCGACTAATCACTGCCACCCTCCCCCCGAAGGGGTGGAAATAAAGTGTCAGAAAGTATCTAATTTCTAAATGTCCGTTGAACCCTAACTTCCCTCAAAAGAAAATTCTAACACTAAAAATAACACCTGAAGTAGGGAATTGGCACAAATAGAAATTTACAAACAACTAAACATGACTCTATAAAAAACTTAAATGTTCAGTTAATTCCAGATATAACGACCACCCAACCAAAGAGAATGCATTCAAAGAAAGGTCCAAACAGAAGCTCTTTATACTTATAGATTCATAAATATGGAAAAAATATCATATGGAATCCACTACGAAAAATCTATAAGACATCTACAAATAGTAATCTATACCCTTTACCTGGTTATCAGAGAGGCATAGATCTAGACGAAGCGAACTTACACTGAGTAAGGATCTTGACAACAAAGGAAAACCGTGGTTCTGTTTCAAATTTGTGAAGACCAACAAAAATACCAGACCAAGTGGTAGCTACCATCATTCCAAATAGACAACGTCCGAAGATACCAAAGTAGAATAACGCTAAATTTGCACGTGATCTTTGATGACAGAGGATCTGCAGAAAGGCAGAGGTAAATCAAAAGAGAGTGTATTGTTTAGAAAAGGAAAGGTGATCATCACATGAGATTTGTTTATCCAAAGTATGTCGATTATGATCATCGGTTCGAATACCCCTTGATGCTCACTTTTTGTAGGCAAAAAAGAAAAAGAGAAAAAAATGGAAAAAATTTTTTGAAAAGAGGTGAAGAAAAAATATTTTAACAAAAAACAATACGGTTTAGACTATTTCGAAAATTTTTATGTGAAGAGGGGTATGAGGAACAAAGAGAGGAATATTTTTGAAAGGAGGGTTTTTTGTTTTATTCACAGGCTAAGCCGCGGCCGCCGTTGAACAGAAACTTTTTTAAAGTAAAAATTCTTGGAAAAAATCCAACAAGAAGAAAGAGTTTTTTCATACTGATCGAAATAATCCATTTCGTCACTTTTTTAAAGTGCTGAATGTTGGCTGAAATATAATCTAATTTCTGCTAATCATTGCCAAAACAATTGGCATTTTTAGTTATAGCTGAAGTTGCCCATTTTCATGTCATATAAAAACATTCAACAATAACGATTGGTAATTATTTGATATATTACTAGGCAAAATAATACAATTTGTCATATTTAAAGTGCTAAAAGTTGGTCAAAATATAGTTTAATTCTACCAATCATTACCAAAAAATCAGCACTTTGAATAAATAGAAAATTGGATACCAATCAGAATTTATGTTAAAAATTGGTCAAAATTCAGCATAAATCAGTTTAAAATCGATCAAACATCAGCAAAAATAATTAAGCAACTATTTATAAAATTGAAACTAATAAAACTAATTTTTGTTTATTTATAATTTATAATTTTATTTTATTATTACATAATAAATTACTCAAATAGAATATATATTATATTTTATTTTATTCAAAAAAAATACATTTGATTTTTAAAGTAAAGAAAAAATAAAAAAAACAATTAAAATCCTACCAAAATATCACTTCTGAAAGGTTTACCTTAATGTATTCCTAAAAAAAGTAAAGAAAAAATAAAGAAAACAGTTAGAAAACTCACTAAAATATCACCTCTGATTTACTTATCTTAATGTATTTCTAAAAAAGTAAAATAAAAATAAAAAAAACAGTTAGAAAACCCACTAAATATCATCTTTGAAAGGCTTACCTTAATGTATTCCTAAAAAAAAAGTAAAGAAAAAATAAAGAAAACTGTTAGAAAACCCACTAAAAACTATCTCTGATTTACTTTAATGTATTTCTAAAAAAAAGTAAAGAAAAAATAAAGAAAACAGTTAGAAAACTCACTAAAATATCACCTCTGATTTACTTACCTTAATGTATTCCTAAAAAAAGTAAAAAAAACAGTTAGAAACCCACCAAAATATCACCTCTAATTTACTTACCTTAATGTATTCCTAAAAAAAAATAAAGAAAAAATAAAGAAAACAGTTAGAATACCACTAAAATACCACCTTTGAAAAGCTTACCTTAGATTTGAAAAAAAGAATTTTTCTAAAAAAATCAAAGAAAAACAAAGAAAAAGAATGAAAAAGGGTTAAAAACCATCTAAAAGTTGCTTTCAAAAGGCTTATCTTAGTTTCGAAAAGAGAAATTTCCTAAAAAAACAAAGTAAAATAAAGAAAAAAACAGTTAAAAACCATCTAAAATAAAGATGGGAACTGTAATTAATATGTTGCGACTTTTAATGTTGCAAATTACGTTGCAATTAGTTTTACCTATATATGTTGCAACTTATAATGTTGCAACATATGTTGCAACTAATTTTAGCTTATGTTGCAACATTTTGTAAATTTGAAATCAATTGCTGTACCATCTTTAATCTAAAAGTTACTTTCGATTGCTTATTTTAATACCCAAAATAAGAATTTTCTAAAAAACAAGAACAAAGAAAGAAAAATGCTACAAAAGTCACTTCCAATTCGTTTACCTTAATTTCAAAATTAGAATTTCCTAAAAAACAAGAAAAAAGAAAGAAAAGGTTAAATTTCCAAAAAAAAAAAAAATAAATAAATAAATTTTTTCAGAATATTCCGAAAGTTAATCAGTTTTATATTGTAAACTGAACTAAAATTTCAATTAATCTGAATTATTTATACTATTTATTATAAATGCTATAAATAGATGATTTTGCGTCATCTGATTGGAACAATATAGAAAATCGCTCAAAAGAAACGATAAAAAATTATTGTTCTAAAGGAACGATGATGAATCATTCTAAAAGAATGATAAAAAATATCATTCTAAAAGAACAATAATAAATCATTCTAAAAGAATAATAAAAAAAAATCATTCTAAAGGAATGATGATGTATCGTTCCAAAAGAATGATAAAAGAACGATAAAAAAAACATTGTTCTTTCAGAACGATGAAGTATTATTCCTTAAGAATAATGTCAAAAATCGTTCTTTGGAACGATGATAAATTGTTCCTTTGAAAATGATTTCTATTGTTTCTTTAAAACAATTGAATCGTTCCTTTAAGGATGATTTCTATCATCTCTTTGAGACAATTACTCTTGAAATGTTTTATAATTTTCACAAAAATTGGCTTAACAGATTTCGATCAGTAAGATATAGTCAATTTGTTGCCAAATCTTGAGTCTAACTGAAATTTTGCAGAATATTATAACTGAAAGGTCTTAATGCTGAAATAATGCTAAATTATGTGTAATATAACAAATTACTATTGATTTTTGTAACTTAAGCTGAATTTTTTCTAAATAACATAACCGAATTGGCTGAATGTTTGATGAAAGATTTAATGCTGAATGAAATAATTTTGACTAGTAATATAAATATCTACTTTTTTTAAAAATGCGATAACTTCGCATAATCTTTATTAGATATGAGTAAAATATATAAAAATATAAAAATACAAAAACTTCTAAATATTCTAAACTAGTTAAAATAAATTAAAGTCAACCCTGTATCATCCTAAACTAATAATCCAATCAGAAGAAAAGGAAATTTAACTATCCAGATGAGAGAGCTTAGTTGCTACCTATCCAAAAA